TCCCCCCTACAGTTTCATTAACAAGAGTTTTATGCAGAAATCACTGGTTGGTCAATAGTTTATTATTATCTTTGCAAAATGTCCATAAAAAATCATGGGTTGATTTTACCTCTCAGCAGATCGCACCTGAGCTCTGAAGAAATTTGCTTTCTTACGGACTACCTGCTTTTTCTTCTGGGCAATAGACATTTTGAGACAGTTCTACCTTTCTTTTCAACTTCTCTCTTAGGTTTCTTCTCATATATGAGGTTGGCCCGTGTAGCCACATCTGCTCCATCATATCTGAAGTTATGTTGTTTTTTACATATTGAGAAAACTTTTTCTTGTAGGCACCTTCATCTTCTTCCATTAGGTAACATATATATTCTGCAACGTTCTCTGCCATAATGTGTTTCTGATGTCCTTCAGCATTGAATTCTTTACTTTCCGAGTCACAGGAAGGGCATTATTTGGTACTGTGAGGAATAGATAATCCTCCATCTGCAGCTCCTTTCAGCGTCCCAAATACTTGTTTCCAGTAGTAATTCTGGCAAGTCCTTTTCCAAATAGCAGGTGAAGGCATCAGGCTGCCCATCAATGCTTTATTACATTCTATTCATCTCCAGTGCCCTCCACCTGGCCTTGATCTATCTTGTCCATGCCAACTCTATTGAGAAGCGTTCAGGCCAGCAGCAGACCAATCTTCACTCCGTACTTTGGAAGTTCATGTGCAGATGCTGCAAAAACTCTTGTATCTCCTTTCATCTGACATAAGCAATCTGACAAGTGATGTCTCTGATGGTGACACCAAAATAGCATCCTGTATTTTGGTGTGCTGCATTTATTTTTACCCTGGATCACCAAACGTTTCTGAGCATAGTAACTGGTTTTGCCTTCTCATCGACTAATAAGTTTCACTAGGTATCTCTTGAAGTTCGCCTTATTTGTGACAATTTTTAACAAACCCTATCCTGCAGAACATCCTGCTGTCCGCGGCTTGACACAGACCCACAGTGCTTTGTAATTTATATTTCTTTTGTTAGATATATCCTCAGAATTTTATTAATTGATTTATGACCTATTTCCTTTTACTTACATGGGTTTAGTCTTTGGCTTCTTGAGCTAAGAGGATAAAAGTTTAGATTAACCATGAACAATTGTAGTCCTTCATTTTAAGATATTCTTAGCACTGCTTTAGCAGCTTTCTATAAATATGATGGCTTCTTTTTATTTTCATTTAGAACTACTGAGAAGACTTGTTTCTTTTGACCTGTGGAAGTATTTTTTAACTGTAACTATTCTGAAGTAATTCCTAGCTATCCTTCTGTTATTGATTTGTAATTTAATTGCACTGTAATTAGAGAAAAAGCTGCATATTATTTCTATCCTTTCAAATTCAATGTCCTATTATGATCTATCCTGAAAAATGTTCCTGTGTGCTTAAGGAGAACGAACATGCTGCTTCATGGTGTATGTTAAATGAAAGTCAGTCGTCCACTTGGTTGAGTGCCCACAATTAAACTGCTGGCACCCAGAATGATACCCTGCACACAGTGGGCACACAATGAGTATCTGTTGGCTGAAATAATACTGTCTCTGCTACCAAAATGTCTTTCAAATCTTTATTAGAGCCCTTTATCTGTTTCTCAAGATGGAAATTATTAATCAGTTATTCTGTCATTTTATTTTATACTGTGACACTAATTTATAATGTACATCACTTAAACATATTTATACAGTAAGCTTATTAGTTTTAGTCACAATTATGAAACATTAAGGATGAAGGCAATTGGACAAAGGACTGGACTGCTCAAAGAGCTGGAATTCAGCATGCCTGGGTCAAGCTCTATGGGCTTCCAGCACCCCTGAACGGGACTGCGTTAGCTGCCCACACTGCTGGTGTGGTCCTAGAGGCCCCCAGCACCATGGAGCTAGCTGGACAAGAATGGCCAAGAATGACTCTGAGCATGGCCTGGAAGGCACACCAAGGACTTAAGAAAATTATAAAATTTAGGATTATAAAATGACATACATGGCTTTCAGAGATGGGTTGAGACTTTTATTTCATACTGAGATACTGGAAACGGTTCTTGAATTCTCAGTATCTTAGTTTTCTCTTTATATAAAATTAGGCAATGATCAACACCAAATTTTTTTGACAACTTCATAAAAGTGAACATGGTAAATTGAGCAAGCACTTTACATTATAAAACTGACTGTTTAGTATAATATTTGAATAAATATAGCAATCTTTACTGAGAAATGTAACAGGATTTAGTTAACTGCATATGTCTATAAAGTTCTCTTGTGTTTATCCTAGTACTTTCTGGGTATTTCACTAAAAATCATTTTAAAGATCATTCTTTTAACTACTCTTAGTTCAAATTGCATAAAAACTGCCACTACTTAACCATTTTTATATACAAGTATAATCATTTCATATATTCCTACCTAGTCCCTGTGTCTAAATCTCATTTCATCAAAGAATGAAAAATTAAAGAAAAGAAACTGAGAAGTGTTCCATGCACTGGGTTCATACTATTTGAGCAAAGTGCATTCCAAATCCTTCTTTACTTTTCTAGGTGGCTGCTCTTACTATCAGAAAACTTATTATACATTTTACTTAATGTATAACAAATACTTTCTATATACCTACTATCAGGCATTACTACTGGCACAGGGAATAAATGATAAAAGGTTACATCTATTCTCTTCTCACTTCTAATGAAACAGACCTGCATTATTTAGATGGTAATAAGTCTACAGGGCAAAAAAATATTGAATCTCACTGCAGTTTCACATGGGATGGCAAAGAAGGACCTGAATGAAAAAATGACTTTGGACTAAAGGTCTTCCCCAAAGTGAAAGATGTGACTAGGTATGTGCTAGCTAACAGAGAATAGGACCTGCTGCTGCAGCATGATATTAAATTCCCTGAAAACGCTTACTTACTGCTAGGTCTGACTGTAAAATAGTGCTAGTTGAAGAGCTGGTGGTCATAAAGATATCCGTGGAGGGCCAGAATGATAATATGGCAGGTAGGGCATTTGCCTTGTTCACAGCCAACCAGACTCAATCGTGCCACTGCATATGGTCCCCTGAACACCACTAGAAGTGATCTCTGGGTGCAGATCTTTATGAAATATGAACATCGGATATATTAATCAGCCTATGTGATTCTGAGAAATGGAAAATTATACCACAATCTTATGTAGTCTAAGTGAAACTGACTCTAAGTCACTCAGGAAATCTATTTCTGATTTTGCTTTTATGTAAGCCCAAATACCAGGTGATTCCTGAGGCATGAAGAAGGTGAAAAATGTACTTTTTGTTGTTAGCACAATGCAAAGGGTTCTATTAATCCCACTTTGCCTCCAGAAAAACTCACTTGAATTTATATCAGGTCATACACCGCTGGATGTGGCCCCAAAACAAACTACCACCAATAAAAAAATCTGTAAATATGTTTATATATATGCATAATATACAAACAGAAATACATAAAATATATTAGAACATGTTTATGGAAATATATATAATTTGTTTATATAAATAAATAGGCAAAAAAATTTTAAGTCATTACACTAAAGCAGAAAATAAAGGAAGACAAATTAGCTATAACTACGTAACTTTGGACAAGAAACTTTTAACATTTTCAGGTATAATTGTCAAAGAAAATGATAGTCTAGACTTAAATAAGTCTCTTATTTTATAGTAGAAATTAGAACTTTCATATTATAATTGTGGAGTATGGCGACAGGCACTGGAGCAGATAAGAGCTGATTTTGCAAAGCGACTCAAAAACAAAGCTTCGCAAGAGGGAGTATCTGGGCAAAGTTGGCAAGAACAGGGAGTCAGCACGGGGTGTTCGGCCTTGAGACTCACTCAGTCTCCTAGTCACATGCGCCAAAGACACAGAAACTGTCACTTAGTAGGTCATCCTAACTGTATCACTGGGATTGGACCAGGGCAAAGCAGAGAAGGAGAAGTTGTAGGCCAATAATGCTGAACTTTATGTGAGTGGACCTTCCTGTAAGCTGAAACCCTCTGTAAAATATATGTGTATTTGGCAATAAAGTGAACAGTCATCAGCTGCTCCCAAAGGGTGTTTCTCCACAGGAGCATCATACTTTGCCCCATATCTGCCTGAACCCGGTGCACAACCTGTCCTGGCATGTTGGGAAAAAACTGTTCCCCAACATATAATGACCACTAAGATGTTAGATATTAGAAAGTTGGAGGCAGGACTCAAACTCTTGGAGAAGTTATAGAGCTGTGAATTTGCAGAGTCCAGATCTGAACCAAGAATCTGTCAATCAAAAACTCTTAACTTCTCCAAACCCCATTTTCTTGTACATGAGGATTAAAGGCACCCACAGGGGCATTACAAAAATCAAACGAATGTCTAAACATTAGAACCATTTATAACACTGCACAGCATATACTGATACATGTGTTTTGCAAATTTCTTCACAAAATTGTATCATAAATTTTGTTTCTAGGTATTGTGGGGTGGAGAGAGGCTCTCTGGGAGCCCAAGGCCCCTCCTGGGGTACTCAGTCAACTCATTTAATGCTAGGTATAGTCATCAGGGGACCACCAAGACTACATCAGGGATGTCCAGGTACTCTAGGGCAATACCCCAGTGTTTCCATGGACCACCACCGAGCAAATATTTGATATTTGAGTGTAGCAAATAAGAAATAAATCACTTACTTTTCACAAGTTTCATCTTCAAAATGTCTCTAAGAAATACATGTTTAAAAGAACTGGCCACTTAAGCAATACAACCATCACTGAAGATGACCATCATTTTTAATATGGTTATATATACTTTATTTCTTGAGTTTTTAGGACATGGTTATAGATAACAAAAATATTAACATAATGTGAGTCCTTTAAATCAGCAGTATTAGTTTAAAACACTATTCTCTCATTGGGAAATATTAACTGTTAAAATATTCAAATTTTAATAGTACATTATATTGCACCATAAAAACAATATAAAGATAATTACTTACCACAGATCGTCTTGGGCTTTTTAGCTAGATATTCTTTCCATTTTCTGGAACTAAGTTGGCTGGGAGGTGGAATAATTACGCTACTAATAGTACATGGCAGTACAAAAAGAGCACCAACCTAGAGGAAACAGAACACAGGATAAGAGTCACTCTTAAACAGTGTCATCAGACAAGTGTCCACTCATATTTTTTCTGCTAACATGGATTCAGAAGGAAAAATCTAAAATAATGTGCACTTAATATGGCTCTCTTCTAATATCACCACTATTAAAAAAATGAGAACAATTACTTACTTCTTTATAAACAACCTTGGACAAACAAAGACAAAGAAAGGCATTCAAAGTCCTTTTCCAGTGGATTATTTATCTGAAAAAACCTTTTGCTCCCAACATTTGTTTCAAGTGCAGATTGTTAGTGTAAATTCTTAATATATCTTCCAACCAATGAGAAGCTGGGAATTCTGCCATCAAAAGATTTTGTCCGATTTAGCCATAATTTTCTAATCTTTTAACTGGATCTTCTCTGACTTCAAAATTAAAACATATCTGAAGGCAATTTAAATTTTTTCCCTATAAATTAGTGATTTAATGCTAATATGCATTAGCAGAGAAGACAACATATCAAAAGCCAAAAAATATAGAGCAGTTTTTGACTGGTTTAAAAAAAACTGAACCTATTTATTCTTATTCTGCACTCCCAAGCCTAGGCAGACCCTTATCATATATGCGGTGCCCCTTGTAAACTTTGACATATTGATCCAACATAATATATTTAAGGACATTTTCAGTTTGATTATGCACTTAAAAAAAACACTGTGATACAGAAACCTTTTATGACTATTATGTTAGAAATATAAGCTCTAACAATTAACACATCCCCATAAATAAGATTTTAAAGCCCTAAATGATCTGAAATGAAACTGACACCTCATGTCACATGAGATGTATATAGATATATGTATATAGATATATGTATATAGATATATATATAGAGAGAGAGAGACAGAGAGAGAGCATAATTAAAACTAATTAGTTGTAACAGATGTCCAATACCAAGGGGGTTTTTTGGTTTGTTTTTTGTTTTGCATAAGATTTCAAAATGCCCAAGACTGTATACCAAAGAGTAGACAAAGATTTGTGAATATACCAGATCAAAGCCGAGTCCTAAGTATATTAGGAGCAAAATATGGAAGGCAACATTAAATCATATTTCCTGTATAAATGTTTTAGTTATAGTGATAGCTTAATAACTTAAGACATGATAAGGGTAGTTCAATGTAACTTACAATCTGGTATGTGTCCTGAATGATTAAAGTGGCTACACTTTTTATTACATACTCTACTTTAGACGAAATATTTATTACACATTAGAAATAGAATTGGAGAGATCGCTCACTGGGTTGAACATATGTTTTATATGCAGGAGGCCAAGGTTTGATCCTGACACCACAGAGTTGCCTGAGCACTGCTGAGAGCAACGCTGGAGCACTGAGCTGGGATGAGCCCCAAACATGGCTGGGTATGGCCATAAAATCAAAAGGAAAAAAAGAAAAAGGAAAAAAGAAGAGGAAAGAAAGGAGAGGAGGGGAAGAGGGAGAGGGAGAGGAGAGGAAAAAATGGAAACCATTCTAAATTTCATAATCTATCATTCCTTGCATCGTCACATTTATAGCAACTATTAATACAGCATTCATAACACAGTTGAATTCTAATAATTCTTGATCTCACTTAACAAATCAAGTCTCTGAGACTTGAGGATGGACCCTTTATGTCCTTTTATGATCTCACTTCACAAAATCAAGACTTGAGAATGGACCCTTTATGTCCAAAACTATATAGCCAAATCAAATGTTAAATGTGAGTTTTCAAACCCTGACTCAAGTTTTTCAAGAGCATAACAACCTAACAAACGATGGTACTCCTGTTTATAGGACACCATGAGAATTCCCTGGTCATATGACAGTAGATAGCATGCTTCCCTAACAACCCCATCTGGTTTTAGAATTACATAAATTTTTTAATTGAACCACTGTTACAAAGTTGTTTATGACTAGGTTTCAGTCATACAAGGTTCCATCTCCTGTCACTTAACCAGTATACATTTCCCACCACCAATGTCCCCAAGTTTCCCTCCTGCCTCCTAACCCCCAGCCTACCTCTATGGCAGACAATTACTTATCTTCTGTTTTTTTTTCTCTCTCTCTCTCTCACTCACTCTCATTCTCCTTTTGTGCACTATGGTTTGCGATACAGGTACTGAAAGGTTATCATGTTTGTCCCTTTACCTACTTTCAACATTCAGTTCTTGTCCAGAATGATCATTTCCAACTATCATTATCATAGTGGTCCCTTCTCTATTTTAAATGCCCTTTCCCCACTGCATCTTGGGCTTCCAATCATGGACCAGTCCTCCTGGCTCTTGCTGCTACTGTCCTTGGGTCTTAATCTCATACTATTGTTTTTCATATTCCACAAATAAGTCCAACCATTCTATGTCTGTCCCTCTCCTTCTGCCTCATTTCATTCATCATGATACTCTCCATATCCATCCATTTATATGTGAATTTCATGACTTCATTTTTCCTGGTGACTGCATAGTATTCCATTATATAGATCTACCATAGTTTCTTTATTCAGTCATCTGTTCTGGGGGACTGGGGTTGTTCCAGATGGCCAAAAGAAACATAAAAAAAATGATTTTAATCATTAATATCAGGGAGATACAAATCAAAACAACAATGAGATATCATCTCACACCACAGGACTGGCACACATTAAAAAGAACAAACCAGTGCTGGCGTGGATTTGGGAAGAAAGGGACTCTCCTTCATTGTTGGTGGGGATGTCAACTGGTCCTGCCTTTTGGGAAAACAATAGCGACATCCCTCAAAAAGCTAGAAATAGAACTTCCAGATGACCAGCAATACCACTTCTGGGTATATCCCTGGGGGAGGGAAGGGGCGAGGGCAGAAACATACTGCAGAAAAGCCATCTATTCATTGCAGCACTATTCACAATAGTCTCTTAGAATTCTAATCTCATAAAATAAGCTTACTTCAGGATATTTTATTTCTGTTCTGGGGCTAATCACAAACTGTTTAAAGCTTAGTTAACTTAAAAATCATATAAATCACTATAATTTAAGTCTTATGAAAGCTGCCAAGAGGTTTGCTGTCAACCTCTTTCTCGCCAGTACTCGAAACAAGTATCTGGCACAGAGCAGGTAGTCCAAAAAAAAAAAAAAGAGTTACATAAATTATATAAAAAACGCAGTCATAAAGCATTAGATTAACTTCCAGGAATTAGCAAACGGTTCAAAATATTATTTTTCCAAAAATGTGAAAGACTCATTATGACCAACATAAGAAAATGTGAACTGCTACACATTTAAAGATGTAACCATCAAATTACATAACATACATTTCTAAAATTTTTCCCTTGGCTGCCTTAAATTAAGAACATACATAAGAAGCTCCTTTTATGTATCCCTCTAACAAGTAATAGCCTAATGTTCTACAGTCATTGTCTGAAAAGCAACAACAGTGGTTTTAATCTAATCCAACAAATTTAAATCAAAACAACTATAAACATAATGTACTTCTTGAATTACTGTTGCCTATTTTCACTGTTAGATGGTTTAAGGTTAGTATATTAAACTAATATTAGGCAAATTTTAGATACCTGCCCGATTTTGACTTCAAACATTATCTATAAAACTAATTCCTAAAAATTCCATCATATTTTCAAAATATCTAGGGCAGCTTTCTTTTTTTTTTTTTTTTTTGTATTTTTCTTCTCCCATTTCTTTTCTTTTTTTTTTTTTTAGTTTTGGGCCATCCCTGGCAATGCTCAAAGCTTACTCCTGGAAAGGCTTGGGATACCATATGTGATTCCAGGGATCAAATCCACATCAGCTATGGGAAAGCAAGTATCTTCCCTGTTGTCTGATTATCTCTCTACCCCTTAAATTAGGTCTTAGAGGATGAAAACATGTACTAGCGTTATACTTTAGGCTACTATACTTTCAAAGCTCAGTTTATAAAATTATTGAAATAACTATCAACTTCATGAAGAAAGTGACTAATAGTAAACCATTTAAATATCTAAGCTGAAGCAACAGTACAGTAGGTAAGATGTTTGCTTTACGCATGGCTAACCCAGGTTGAATGCCGGGTACTTCGGAGAACCCTAAGCCCCACTTAGTAAGTCCTGAACAATGCCAGTTGTGGCACAAAAACAGAACAAAATAACAAAAACACATATATAAGTTGTCATATAGTCAAGAAGCTTAAAAAGGGCAAATTTATATTTCCTCTACAAGTTTCCTAAACACAAAAAATTTGATAAAATATTTATAGTGTGACTCTGTCCACCTTTAAATCATACTATTACATATACATATGTATCTGCTAAAATAGCTGCAAATGACCTAAGCATCTTCAAAAAAAGAAAATCTGCAAATACTAATTCAAGTGATTTAAATGTTATTCTTAATTCTATCCCCCTAGGCTTTGCCATAAAAATAATAATACATATAGATTAAGTATTAATGTATATATTCAATGTAGCACTGTAGCACTGTCCTCCCGATTTACATGAGCAGGCACCAGCAACGTCTCCATTGTGAAACTTGTTGTTACTGTTTTTGGCATATCAAATACGCCATGGGGAGCTTGCCAGGCTCTGCCGTGCAGGTGGGACACTCTAGGTAGGTTGTCAGGCTCTCTGAGAGGGATGGAGAAATCGAACCTGGGTCGGCCACGTGCAAGGCAAAAGTCCTACCCACTATGCTATCGCACCAGCCCATAATCAATATATTCATGATATATTCACAGAATTGAAGTCAGATGTTGAAGAAGTCAATTAAAAAGAATTTTAGTGAAGTCTAAAATTCTAACATTTTCTTGGCTCTACCCAGCTGTACTCAACAGCTACTGGGGTAGTGTTTGGTATTGAGTTGGGGTTGACTAGATGCAAGGCAAGTGTCTTAACCCTGTGCATTCTGAGTCTAAATTTATTTGGGGAGAAGTGGTGGGGTTCACACAAGGCTATGCTCAGGGATCATTACTGGCAGGGCTCCAGGGACCATATGGGATGCCTGGGATCAAACCCGGGATTGCCACTAGCAATGCAAGCACCCCACCCATTAAACTATGACTGAGGCCCTAATATTTTTAAACTGTAAAGCAATTACTTGCCAGGAAATATATTTTTGAAACTCTTCTAAAAACAAAGCATCATTATCTGCAGAGCACTTTAGAATTAACAAGAATAATGACTGAAATCATGTTACATTTTATCAAAGAAATGAAACGATGCAGAAACAAAGCTCAACAAGCCATATTCCCTTTCCTCACACATCCTTAAATAGGATGTTGAAAAAAAAAAAACACCTTATTACCTTGTCACACAAAGAAGAAAGCTGCTCCAACAGCAACACAGAGTTCTGTTTGGTGTTGTTTCTTGTCAATCCTCTGTACTAAGGGTTAAAGAAATAAAGAAAATCAAAGTACAAAAAAACAACTTAATTAGGTACTTTGGATGGGTAAACTATGTGGTATGTCAATTATATCATAATGAAGTTCTCACTATCTTTCAAAAGATCACTTCGTTATTTTTGTAGATGAGGGAAGAATAACTAACAACTCCATTCCCCAAAACGTTTGGTGGGTCCTAAATCCATTTATGGAAACTTTTAATTGTAGGAATTCACAATTTCTTATTTTATTAAATGATTTTTTAATTCTGAAATGATAACAATAAGTAGTGGTAACTATCAGTGTTACTAAAAACTACAAGAACAAGGGATTTGTGAAGACTATGACTTCTTAAAACTTCAAAAATAATATGCCACTGGGGCTGGAGAATAGTACAGCAGGTAGGGCACTTATCTTGCATGGAGCCAACCAGGTTGGATCCCTGCCACCATCCATGGTCTCCTGTAGGATAACACTCTTTTGTCCTTCCTCAGGTAGCTTAGGTTTATCAGGTCACACCCATCTAAGGACACTGAACTTGTATTGTAAGCAATGTCCTTTCTGTGTGGACAGAGGAAGACAGTTAGTATTATACTTTGTAACTTGGGAGTTGATTGACTCTGAATAATATTTACTCCTGGGCATCTGATTTCTTGACTCAGTTAGTTGCCCTTAGTTCCTAGCACCCCAGTAGCAGGGTCCCGACGAGGGACTGAATAGACCCAGGGCAAGCTATGAGCTACCCTGGCATCGAAATGGGCCAGGCCAAAGAGCCACGACACTCAACTATAAGTTGAGGGCATGATCATGGACAAATGCTGTCATGATCCAAAAGTAAGTAACGACGAAACTAGGACCCTGCTGGAGCTAGGAAGATTAACCTGGCCTAAGGACTGTGGAATGTATAGTGAGATGTTCCCAGGAAGAACCAAACTAAGTTTATATCTCTTACTGTGCTCATACAGAATGACATTGCTAGAAATATTAGAAGTAGATTTATTACAACTATTTAAGTAGATTACTAACTGAGGGAAGAACATACCCTTGTTGGGATCCCACCCTTGAGCGGATCTCCTAGTAATCTGGAGTAATCTCTGTAGATGAGATTTTATCCTTGAGTTAATCTCCTGGAGGAGTGGTCTTATCTCTCTTTGTTGATTCGTCATATTCAACCCACCTCTATGTCACCGCCTTATGTGACTGCTATATAAACTAAGACGGTAAGCTCGGGGGAAGAGAGTCAGAAGCGAGAGAGTTCAGGCTCCAGAGATCCAGAGTCAGAGCAAGAGGGGCTCAAGCTTGAGAGAAAGAACAGCCGTCCTGATCCAGGCACACACAGGGCTCAAGAGCACCGAATGTAGGCGGTGAGAAAGAGCCATCCAGTGAGCCCGTGAACACACAACCTTCGGTGTGATAAGATTTTATAGTCTCCCAAGCCCCACCAGGAGTGATCCCTGTGTGTAGAGCCAGGAGCAAGTCTGTACTGCCAGATGTAACCAACATAAAAATTATAATGCGAACAAAAAGGTGCCACTATTCCATTTCCAGGCAATAATATTTTCATAGGAAATATACTGTGTGTAGGTATTTTCCTAAAAATTCTTATTATTTTCTTGAAAGAGGTATATAGAGTAGTTAGTGTACAAACAATGAATTGCATTTACTTTTACTTACGGATATAAACTTATAAAAGCACTGGCCCTTACATATCCATTCTGCCAATAGCAAGAGAAACATCTGAACATTTCAGGAATTTTTTTTTTTCTCTATAGATCGTTAACATTTCTCTTTCCTCCCTACCCTATACCACGATGTCCTCTTCCTATCCTAGAACCAATGACCGCATATGAGGTTTTATTTTGTTTAGTTTTGATTTTTACAGGTAACAGGACTTCTCTTAAGAAACAATATCCTGGTGGAGTTCATGCCCAATTCAATCAGCTAATCAATGGCTGAATAAATAGCAGAACTCCTATACAAAAAAAAAAAGGATAAGAAACAATATCCATCTAAAGTATATCCCGAGCAGGAAAGATAATATAGAGGGTTGGATGCTGGCCTTGCATGTGGCCAACTTGGATTCGATTGTCAGCACCCCATATACTTCCCTGTGATCCCTGGGCACCACCTTGTGTGGCCCAAAAATACAACAAAAGTGTATCAACTATTTTATAAAAATGTCAATACCCAGCATAGTCAAACGTCTAAATGAGGAGCATTAGCAAGAAATGATCTAGTAGATAGAAAACACAACTGAAAACAAATGTGTAAATAAAAGGATACAAGTCAAATTCAATGTCTGACATATAGTAGGAAGGTAAATCTGATAACTTTATCATCTGCACAAATTCCAAAGCAGGGCCATAATAGTGGAAAACCTAAAAAAAAGAAATTACAATTGGGTAATAATTTAACTACTGCCAATAAAATGAACATTCTAGTGGTTAGCAATTAAAACCATAAACAAATCTTTTAAAAAATAGGCTTTTGCATATTTTACAAACTAAAGTTATAAGCATAGATTATAACTTCAAACATATAGAAAAAACTGATACATGAATAGATAATTACAAAAAGCAGCTTAAATGTAAATTACCTTTGGCAAAATATTCTTATCCTTCAACAGTACTCTCTTTTTGGCAAGAGAGCAAGTATTTAAATCAGATGGAGTAAAATTCTTCGGTGTGATTCCCCTTAAACAAAACTCAGGAAAACTAATTTCAAATCCAAACTGAAAAGAAGCCAAAAGAATACAATTAAATATCATAAAGTGAAAAACTAATACATGTTAATGAACTACGAATGTTGGAAGGGAAGTTGGATCAATATAGCTTTAACTGCTGAGTTTAAAGTATGGCTCTTCTATGTAAATACACACCATTCCTATTTTCACTTGCACAGGGAATCTTCCATGGTCACTCGCCTGCTAGTTACAGAAACTAAGTTCATTTTATGTAATCACAGAAACAAATGACCGAGTTCACTTATATTTGTTCAATAACTGGCTTCCCACCAGTCTGTAAGTCTTGCAAAAACAGAACGAGCATATTTTGTTCATCACTTAAGACATTTCTTCAGCAACTTATACTGAAGAAATCAAGTTCTGCTACAGTCATAAGATAGCTAAAAAAGTTATAGTAACAACCATGATTGCTAACAGTTTACATCATGATTTGTTTTTACAGAATTTACCCGCCCCGCCACCATAAAATCCATGAGTCAGTTACTTTACTGTACCTGTTTTGTACATGAAGAGAGCTAAAACATCAAAAAGGCCAAATAATATCCAGCATGTCACACAAAACTAAAACTAGCAAGAAAGAGCTGGAATTTGAATGAAGGCAGTACCTCTGGAATCAACATTTTTAAACACGATAATGCCTCTAAGCTAAAAGGCATTCTCAGTCCCAGCCCCCTAAAAGTAATTTCTAAGTTTTTGTGTTCGTTTTATTGTGTTATCAAGGTAACAGGGTTTGCAATAGGTAATGTTTAGGTATTTCTTTTAAGCAATTAATGTTACTGCAATATATCTGCCACCAAAACACCAATATCAATCCACCTCTGTCCCTAAGTGATTTCCAGTTTTAAATATCATCTGCAGAAAAATAAATAATTTCCTTTTCATAAAAGTATAAAAAACATAATAACCTGCCATTATCCATTAAGTATATAAATATGTGGCTTCAGAAAAAGTATTCAAAAAGTTACTCTCTAACCTAATTCAGTTGGCTCTGGTTTGTCTTAAAATCATTTGAGGAGGTTTACTTGAAGGTTTATTTTACTTGATAACCTTCCCAAGATAAGGATAAACCAACAAGCAAATTGACATGATGGACCCAGACACATTTAATCACTATCTTCTTATGGATTTTTATTAAACCACAGTTAAAGGTTACTGCAAACGGGGGAAATTCAGTAATTGGTAAAATAAACCTTCACAGGAAAGCAAGGAATTACCAATTTTCTCATGCCACCCTCATCAAGCATTAAAAAACTTTCTTATTGTAGTCTTGTTTAGATACAAAATATAAAAATACTAGGAACACTTATTTCAAAATGGGGACAGAACTCATAAAAACCACAAAAATATTCATTCATTATAAGAGATGCTAGGATAGGAAAGGAGCTTTATGGAAATTTAAGATTAGAGTGTTCCAACTAATCTAACCTAATATTGTCATACTGTAATTGAAAGATCTGGAATCTTTCAAGGATAAAAACAACTGTTCAAAATAAGAGTGCTGGTTAGTAGGGCACAGCTGGGCACCTAAACTAATGTTTGTTACAGATGATAATATATTCTTGGCAATTCGCTACTATTTCACACATAAAATAACATAAAGCAACTTGGATAATCAATATGAGCTCAGCACATGTCAAAATTCTGTGTTTTTTTTTTAAAGTTATTTGTTGGAATTTCAGCTACCAAACCATAATCCTAGTGACTACCCCATTAAAAATGAATTCAAATCAGAAAAAGTTCTATTTTTCAATTAAAGTAGTCACTGTAAGATTCTCCGTATAAATACAAGGTTTGTGGGCAACTGTATTAGCATATATAATATATATGCATGTATATATGTATACATATATATAATATTTCATCACTTCAGGAAATCCTAGCTACACAGTGCTGTTCAAAAGGTCCATTTTCATCTAAATGAAGTTGAAAGGATTGCTTTGCAACTATAATAACCAAGAAAACCACTTACCTTTCTCTCCCATATCTGAATCTTTCCCCTCCATAACTCCTTTGAGTCAATAATATCTCTGAGATGTTCTAAAGAGACAATATTAGCAGAAAGGTACTCTGCAATTTTCTGACAATTTCTATAAATGAAAAATTATGCTAATTAAGTATAGGAACATTATTTTACCTAGATTCAACAATTAGAGCTAACTACAAAAGCCTAAGCAGCAAAATGGAGCTTTTATTACTGCTTTTATCTACTTTACCTCATTTTTTAAAATACGACAGAACATCCATTAAGTCCAACTCCAAGTGAGTTACTATCACATGTTCATTTAATCCCAGCATCCCTATGATTAGGAGTAACTGCCCTTAATACTACAGAAGAAGAAGAAAGACTTTCTTCTGACCATTTCTGGGCTTAAATGTGTCAGGTATATAACGTGTATCCACCCAAACTGAGTATCAGTTCTTTATCTTCAAAAGATGGATTATTGGGGCTGGAGCAATAGCACAGCGGGTAGGGCGTTTGCCTTGTACTCGGCAGACCCGGGTTCAATTCCCAGCATCCCATATGGTTCCCTGAGCACTGCCAGGGGTAATTCCTGAGCACAGAGCCAGGAGTAACCCCTGTGCATCACCGGGTGTGACCCAAAAAGCAAAAAAAACAAAAAAACCCAAACGATGATTATTCTCCTGAATTGTTCCCATAGAGTTTTATATAGAATTCCATGAGTATTTATTAAGACAAGCATGACTATTGGCAACTCTAATTCTCCTAGTATTTCAATGAAAAAGACAAAACTCATCTGAACTCACCCTTACTTACTGGTGAGCTCAGCATAAAAGCATAAAGTTATTAAATAACAAGATAAAAATCACGCGGTGGGAATTTGGTAGGGACTTACACAAACACAACTCTTTGTGCTTCTATGCACAAACCCCAGGCTTGATCCCTGAGCCCACTAGCTTATATAGTTGGGATGAATAATTCTGGGAGTGGAGCCAGAACCCCCTAAGTACTGCCTGGGAGCCACATACACAAATCAATAAATAAGTGGGATTTATTGAATCTAGTGTGAATACTTACGGTAAGGATCAAAATTTAAACCAACAACTGATGCATACTAAAATATAATAAAATACAAAAGTTTCTATTTCTTTCCTGGCACATTAAACAAAAATCAAATATAACATTATAAGTCTAGTTTATTCATCTACCAATGGGATTATTATAGTGCCCACTAAATAGTCACGGTCACAGTCCTCTCGTTGTTCATCAATTTGCTCGAGTGGGCCCAGGAACATTGTGAGACTTGTTACTGTGTTTGGCATACAGAATATGTCACGGGGAGCTTGCCAGGCTTTGCTGTGCGGGCGAGATACTCTCAGTAGCTTGCCAGGCTCTCCGAGAGGGGCGGAGGAATCGAACTCGGTCAGCCATGTTAGCTGCGTGTAAGGCAAACACCCTACCCGCTGTGCTATGGCTCCAGCCCGCCCACTAAATAACACAAGTCTATTAAAAAGCACACAAGCGTCAGAAGGATAGGACAGTGGGTAAGGTGTTTGCTTGCATGCAGTCAACCTGGGTTCAATTCCCAAACACTGCCACGAGTGATCCCTGAGTATAAAGCCTGAAGTAAACCCAGAGTATCACCAAGTGGGGCCAAAAAACAAAAGAAAGAAAATTAATTAAAACTAAATAAAGCATATGATGAGTTTGGAGAAATGATGCTGAAGAATAGTTATAAAATAGCATAAATACCATTCACCAAAAATTTATATATCTCAGAAATATGAAGAATGAAATCAGAAAAATCTAGATTCTTGGGGTTGGAGAGATAGTTCAATGGGTACACTATGGCCTTGCACACAGCCAACCAGGGTTTGATCCTATGGTCTCCCAAGCACCTCCCTTACCACAGAGCCACGAATAAGCCATGCACACCACTGAGTATGGCCTCAAATGCCAAACAGAAAAGAAAAACAAAAAATAAATCTAAATTATTTTCAATAGATAAATCTCTAATCACAGTATAGCATAAAACTACCTTAACAGATTCAAAAATCTTCAGAGTGATTCTATTAAATGACTAGCATGTTATAAAAACAGACAACACAAACATTATTCAATTATGATCAAGGAAACTTACATTTCACATTGATTTCCCACCATTGTAATTTTTGCTGAATACCATTCCCTCAAATGTTTTAATGCTCCGATAGCAGGTAGACAGTCTTTCAATTTAGGATGATCTCTGTCAGAGGGCAACAGTATTATATCTATCATTGCTCTACCTGGAAAGAGATAAAGCCGCTTTTGAATTTTTTTTAAAGATGTCAGATCTGCAACGTTTTAAAGAGTACCCTGAACAACTGAATTTAATGTGTATTTAAATGATAAAAGAGAATCTTAACACAATTTTTGGAATTCTTCAAAAACAATACACATCTTTAGAAGTTCACATTTTTTTCTGTTTATCATTTGATTTAAAGCCAAATTATCTTGAAATAGCTAGCATAAGCCAGAAAACAATGAGCTATATCATAATTACTTGCTAATTTGATGCCAGTGGTTAATTACATACACTGCTCTTGAGATCATCAATACTATTGTTCTAATGCACAGAAGGGGGAAACGATGCAATTTCATTATATTTTTTGACACTTAATTTTGTATACAAGAGAATGAATTAGCACAAATAAATTATTTCTCTTTTAAAAGGACAATGAAACATTCAGAAGGCTCAATTATACAGACAACATCATTGGTTTCTGAGGAAGAAGTATAACTTTGTGAAGATTTAAATTTATAAATTTACTAAAGAACCAAAATACTAAGGAACAAAAACAAAAATCATTTAAAAATTAAATAATGGAAATATTCTAACTTGGAAAAACAGTAGCTATAAAATTCGAACAGAAAACATTTCATTAAAAAATACTGATATATTTATCGGTTATTTTCTATGGAACTTTAGCACTACAATATTATCTTCAAGATAAGGGTTATTCTGTGAGCTATAAAGTCCCTTATGGTAACCACGTATGCTTCATTTCACACTCAATTCTTAGGACAATGATTGTTATCTAAGAAACACAGAAAATATCTACTTAATAAATGACCTTCAGTAATGAAAATAATCACAAAAGAAAGTTTTCTGAAAGTATTTGTGGATGCCAAATTGTCTCAATTTTTAGGTGCCATGAACTGATTAACAAAGATGGAAAAATTTAAGACAAAGGGAAAAAGAAAACAGTTTTAAGAACAATAAGATGCGTACAATTTCAAATAATAGGCTTTCCTTTTAAAAAAAATGATTTCATTTGAAAAAGTTGAATCAGAAAGTTATTTTACTATACAGCTTTCTAACTGATAATATATCCATTACTTCACACCATTGAAGATGTTATCCAAATTATCCTGGTTAGACAATTCCAGTTGTTGGTCAGAGGACCCAAGTTCTAGAAAAAAATATAGTGTTCAACAGATATATACAGTGGAAAGATTTTTCTTCAAGACTACTAGACAGTTCTTATTTTTATCTCATTAAATGGAAACCATCAAGAGAACTATAATGTCTTAAGAGTAACATACTTGTTAAAGTAGTTAAGTACATTTCTATATCAAGTTCAATTAAAAAATTATGTTCCATACTGAATTTCAAAGTTAGAAGTAAGAATAGAGACTGAATTTATAGGCAGCATAAAACAAGATACAAATTATTTAAAACCATCATAAAATATTACCAGGAGCAGGAAGCTTGTCAGATAACTGATGCAAATTTTCTGCAGATTCTTCATAAAGGCTAAAATAAAAGAATTTAGAAAGATAACTACACATATACATTATATAGAATTATAACAGGCAATATTAAGAGGTCCTATATAGATACACAGTTGGGTTTTTTGGGGGGAGAGGGTAGGAATATCACATGTGATGATAATCAGGTAATCAGGGGTTACTCCTGACTCAGCTCTGCACTCAGGAATTACTCAGGGAACCATATTACTTAGGGATGCCAGGGATCAAACCCAGGTAGGTGTGCAAGGCAAACCCACTGTACTATTGTTCTAGCCCCCCAGATACATATTATTAAATGTGCTTAAGTACTACCTTATTTGCTCCTCATGAACCACTACCATATTTAATGTTATCTTTCCCACTTAAATTGCCTGAAGTCAAGTACGTAATTGCCTAAAAGAAATTTACCCCCAACTTTGGTAGATATTTTTCCCTTTTGGGGCTCAATGTGAGTCCAAGTTCTTATAAGAAGAAAGAAACAACAAACCAAAGAGAAAGGGGGGGGAGTTTTTATATTATGTCTAGTGTATTAAATATAAATCCTAAGAAATGGAGCAAACTAAGCAATTCACAAGAGATACTGATTTTATCTGAATGACACAAAACAGCTCTGATTGGAAAATAAAATGCCCTTCTCCAATTCATCAGAATCTATTAATTTATCATCAAGGTGTCAGAATTTATTTCCTCAAAACAGTCTATTATATAAGCGAAATGACTCAGAAAGAAAGGGATAGACATAGAAAGATTGCATTCATCTGGGGAACATAAACTAACAAAATAGGAGACAAACAACCAAGAATGGCCGAGATTAGTACCAGGAATTTTACTCCATAGCTTGGAGGCCAGCCATGCTAGGGGAAAAGGGAGCTCAGATAGAGAAGGGAAGACAAAATAAAGAGTGTTGGGAGGATCCTCCCAGGATGGGAGAAGCATGCTGAAAGTAGACTGTAGACTATAGACCAAACATGATTGTCACCATTGCCTCTTTTGCAAACCACAACACCCAATAAGAGAGAGAGAACAAAAGGGAATGCCCTGCCACAGAGGCAGGGTGGGATGGGGGGGTGGGAGGGATACTGGGATCCGTGGTGGTGGGAAATGGGCACTGGTGGAGGGATGGGTATTTGATCATGGTATAATTGAAACCCAAGCACAAAAATTTGTAAGTCTACAACGGTACCTCATGATGTCTCACTAATAAAAATTTTTTTAAAAAAGTCTATTATAGAATATACAGGTATCTTAAAAACTTTTTCGTAAACCTAACACTGTCTAAAACACCTTAGGGCATCTCAAATAAAGCACAGTGTTCAAGCTCCCTCTTGTGGAAATAACTATAACACTTAGTAGAAATCGCCTTTCCCATTGCTCTCCATACTCCCTGGTTCAAAAAAAGCATAGGAACAGGGCCAGACCTATAGTACAGTGGGTATGGCATCTGCCTTGTTTGCCTATAAGGGTCAAACCCCAGAATCTCATATGGTTCCCCAAACACCACCAGGAGAGATTCCTGAATGCAGAGCAGGAGCAATCTCTGAGTACTGCCAGCTATAGTCAAAAAACATGCAAACAAACAAAAAAAAAAGGGCCAAAGATGTTAAGAAATTAGGCCCAAAATCCTACATCCATAAACTTCCTCTCCCAGAGTGATGACTAACAAAAGACTTTGAAAAGTGAAAGCAATCTTGAAAAAGAAAAACAAAGCTAGAGGCTCCCTTGGGTCAATCTGTATTTCAGAGCCAGAGTACTTAAAATAGTATGCTATTGGATACAGACACAGATCAATGGAAGAGAAGAGAGGCTCAGAAGCAAACCCATACATAGTATGTTTAATTAGCTGACAACAAAGGCAGCAAGAAAATCCAACTGGCAAGACAGTCTCCAATAAACGATTCTGGGAATGTGGGGAAATCATGTGCAAAAGAATAAAGTTGCGGACACACAAATGAACCTCGGTCCCAAGCAACTTGCTGTAAAGATAGAAATGGCCCTGGACTTTGCAATGGGCCATCTCCGTTGGGCTGCTCCAGACAGGGGTAGGTGACATCCCTCCACCTACCTCCAGGGAACTCAGACAGGCGCCATTTTCTAGAAACCAGCAATAAGCTCCAGGTACGAGTGACGATGGGACCAAACCCCAAGTTTCATGGCCAAACCCCAGGTTTCATGGGATGGGGGAGGAGTAGGCACTCCTCCATCCCCCGCCTCAGGACTCAGAGACGAATTCACACCCGGCCTGGCTACTTAAGCCCCCACAGGCCAGGATCCAGAGACACACAAACAAACCTCAGTCCCAAGCAACTTGCTTAAGCAAACTCTTCAGACCCTAGTTATCTAAATTTTAGAATTCCTAAAGCACGCAGTCCCTCTTGCGGCCACACAACACTGTAGTGCATCCATAACAAACAATACAAAACACATAGTCTAGCATTGCCTTTTCGGCAGGACTGAGAGGTGGTGGGTCTGGTCTCAAAATATGGAAAGTAAAGAAAGTAGAGAAAGAGAGCATTATGAAAATTTTCAGTAGAGAAAGAGAGTATTATGCAAATTTTCTGGCACACAGGCATGGGGAGGTGTGAAATGGGGGGAGGGGGGTTACTGGAGATTTGGGTGACAGATAATGTGCACTGGTGAAGGGATGGGTGTTGGATGACTGTATGATCGAAACTCAAACTTAAAAGCTTTGTCACTGTACCTCACGGTGAATCAATTGAAAAAAAAAGTTGCTTGCTTGAAGAACTGTTTTCCAACCCTTGACTTTGAGTCTGTATTTGCCTTGTTCAATGTGTTTCTTGCAGGCAGCAGAGTGTTGGATTCAGTTTTCTAAGCCATCCTGCCACTCCATGTCTCTTGATTGGTGCATTTAGTTCACTGACATTGAAAGAGATTATTGCCAACTTTATGTAGGACTTTGGTGGGGCTTGTTTTGTCTTAAAGCAATTCATTTAGATCTTCTTATAACAATGGTCCGGAGTCTATGAAGTTCCTGAGTTGTTGTTCATTGGCAGAGTCATGTATTTTTTCTTCAAATCTGAATGAGAGTCTGGCTGAGCTTAGTAAAGTATTATTGGTAAGGCTTTCATTTATTGAGTTTTTCACTATATACCACCACTATCTTTGGTTTTGGGGGTGGGGGAGGGAGGTTCATGCTATAAATCTTAAGAATGCTCCTTTTTTCCTTCTTTGACCTTGCTGTTCTCAGTATTCTATACTCACATTTTTTGTCATTCTGATTAGGATATGTCTAGGGATATTTTTAAAAACAAAAAACAAAAAAAAAGCCCAAGCCCAGATGGATTCATGAGTGAATTCTTTCAAACCTTTAAAAAGGCCAATTCTTTTAATTTGTAGATCTACAACTGTACCTCATGGTGTTTCACTAATAAAAATTTTTAAAAAAAGAGGTGACTGTTAACATAAAATGCCAATATTCTGATAACATAGGAAGAAATAAATGTTTTTAGATATATCCAACTCTATCAAGATTGAAAAAAAAGAAATAAAAAACCTGAATCTTCAGATCAAAAAAAAAAAGAAATTGGAGCATTAAGAAATAAAATGTATCCATATATACCATGAAACACCTAAATATTTATAAGCATCCTAAATAGAAGTTTCTTAAAATGTCAAAAGGACTGTATTCTGTGAGTCTTCAACAAACAGCATCTTTTGAAAAATAATACACATCTTTAAAAGCACCCAGTGGGGTGGGGAAAGGGAGGGAGGGAGGGAGAGAGAGGGAGGGAAGAGTGGAGGAGTGCCTACAACAGAGGCAGACTGGTGGGTGGGAGGCGGAAGGGAGACTGGGGCATTGGTGGTGGGAAATGTACACTGGTGAAGCGAAGGGTGTTGGAACATTGAATGACTGAAACCTGATCATGAACAACTTTGTAACTGTGTATCTCCTGGTGATTCAATTAAAATAAATAAATAAATAAAAGCAAAAAAAGAAATAAATAAAAAGGCCAATCCTTTTCAAGCTGTCCCAGAAAACTGAAGAAGCAGAAACACTCCCAGGTTCTATGAGGCAAATATCGGGCTGGAGCGATAGCACAGCGGGTAGGGCGTTCACCTTACAAACGGCCAACATGGCCGACCCGAGTTCGATTCCTCAGCCCCTCTCGGAGAGCCCGGCAAGCTACCGAGAGTATTCCATATGCCAGACACAGTAACAACAAAGTCTCCAATGGAGACGTTACTGGGCCCGCTCGAGCAAATCGATGATCAACGGGAGGGCCTTTACCTTTACCTTATCACCCTCAGTCAGAGACACTACAAAAGAAAATTACCAACCAGTATCCCTAAACGAACACAGATGCAAAGATCCTCAACGGAATACCAGCAAATAGAATTCAACAACTCATCAAAAGGACCATACACTATAACCAAACAGAATTCATCCTGGGGATGCAAGAATGGTTTAACATTGGCAAGTCACTGTCACTGCCCTCCTGTTGTTCATCGATTAGCTCAAGTGGGCACCAGTAACGTCTCACAACAAATTGTGAGACTTGTTGTTACTGTTTTTGGCATATCTAATATGCCACAGGAAGCTTAAAAGACAAAAACCATATGATCATATGAACAGATGCAAAGAAAGCACCTGACAAGATCCAGCACCCATTCATGGTAAAAACTCTCAACAAAATGGGAGCTAAAGAAACTTACCTTAATTTAGTTACCAAAAGCCCATAGCAAGCATTATTCTCAATGGGGAAAAGCTAAAGGCTTTCCCCCTAAAATCAGGCACAAGAAAAAGCTGCGCACTCTCGCCACTGCTATTCAATATAGTTCTGAAGTACTTGCCATAGTAGTTAGGCAAGAAAAAGATATCAAGAGTATACCAGATAGGAAAGAAAGAAGTCACACTTTCGCTATTTGCAGATGACATGCTACTATACTTAGAAAATCCTAAAGCTCCAGGAAGCAATTGACTTGTAAAGTAGCAGGCTACAAAGTCAATACCCAAAAGTCCAGGCTTTCTTATACACAAAGAGAAGA